AAACTTCAGAAAATGCACATCTCCCCTGGGCCATGTTTGCAGTGACAGATTAATGAATTACCTATCTTCTGGAGAAGAAATAAACATGCAAAACTAATTAAATCCCCTTGCCTTTAGAACAATAGGGAGAAGGAAAACAGCGGCCACAAAAGAAAAATAATTAACCTTGCTACTGAGATTTCGTTGTCAGAGCTTAGAAGTGATACATTAAAAATGAGGCTCTCTTTGACAATGCTTTACTCATTCAAAACATAAATAGATGCCATCAGAGGAGAGAGAAAAGAGTTTTGGGGCATCTTAAAGACAATGGCTCACGTCTCCAAACGGGTACGGGAGAATGTGATGCTAACAACCAATACCAAGATGAAGGTCTATCAGACTTGTGTGTTGAGCACACTGTCCTATGGAAGTGAGTCGTGGGCAACTTGCAACTGCCAGGAGCAACTCCGCAACACCTTCCTCGTGTGTTGCATCCAAAAGATTTGGGGCATCACATGGCAGGACAGTCTCTCAAACAAAGATGTGCTCTCCCAAGCCCACATTCCCAATATGTTTGCACTCCTTTCTCAGTGATATCTATGCTGGCTTGGTCATGTCCACAAAATGGAAGGTGGTAGGATTCCCAAGGAGCTGGCTTTAGGCACCAGGCCCATTGGCAGACCAACTCTATGTCACAAAGATGTCTCCAAATGTCTCTCCCGTATCAGTCTCTGCAACCACAGCAGGCACAGTAACTCTCCAACAGTTTGACCCCCAAAGGCACACTCTTCCGTTGTCTCCTGAGACACAGTGTAGACATACAGAATACTTGGCCAAAGTTTCCCACAGACTCCCTCTATTTAAATTACAGCAATTATTTACACATTTAGTCACATATCTGCTTCCTATTCATATAAAATAGCCAATTTTATGAAAATATCTGTCATCTATTGGGGTGATCCTCCCCTATCCGGCAGCCAGTAAACTGGCACCCTAACAGGGATACCCAAAATCCCATGAAATACAGCAGCTACGGTCTATGACATTTCAGCGCAAAGCTCCAGCATATAAAAACTAATCACAGATAGCATTCAATATAGCATTAACCATCAGTAGCACCATCCACAGGCTTTTACTGAACCCAAAATCAACTCTGTTGGCACTGAGTGACTGGCAAGGAATGCAAACACCTGAGCACATGTTCGTTTGGGTGGCAAGTTAAGTCGCAGCAGATGAGCATGCAATGCCTTCCGACAAATCCATGCAGGTGTGTCTAATGCCACAGAGTCAGAGACAACACATCACAGACTAATAGTGTATCAGCAACAGTTCTTTTCCCCCAATATGTCTCCAGGAGATTTACTTGGAGCAGGATTTACTTGGTGCAGTGCTTAGAGTGTTGGACTAGGACCTGGGAGACCAGGGTTCAAATCCCCATCGGGCCATGAAGGTCGTTGGGTGACTTGAGGACCTCTTTACCTAACCTACCTCCCCACAAGGTTTTTGTGGGCATCAAATGAGGTGGAGAACCATATACACTATTTTTGAGCACCTTGGAGAAAACAGTAGGATATAAATGCAACAAATGCAAATGCATTTTCATGTGTTTAACTTCCCCTTGAATTAATTTATTTTGTAGCAATGAGGCCCATGGTACGTACCCCCAAACAGCTACAAGGGAGACCGGTTCCTTCATGTTCAGTGTATTTAGCATATTTTGTTAATATCCTAATCATATTATGAGTGAGGATTTGTACCTAGCAAAAATAGCACCACTCATGACCAAGAGGGAGGTATCAATAGGCTTGGGGAAATGTTTTTGTTTAAATCTAGCGAGGTTTTCCTAGTAGCTATTGAGAGTCTTATCTTCTATTAATTTGTCTAATCCTCATTTTAAACCATCCCAGTTGGTGGCAATCATTGCCTCTTGGGGGAGTGAATTCCATAGCTTAACTATACACTGTGTAAATATGTCCCTTTTTTAGTGTGGCTTGACACCAAAACAGCCCATCAAGGACTGAATATGCTCAGTAACTATGGAATGGTGGCTGAATGTTGAAGGTTGCGGAATGGGGAATGAAAATACAGGGGTACCTCGGGTTACAAACACCTCAGGTTACAAACACTTCGGGTTACAGACTCGGCTAACCTGGAAGTAGTACCTCAGATTAAGAACTTTACCTCAGGATGAGAACAGAAATCATGTGCCGGCAGCGCAGCGGCAGCAGGAGGCCCCATTAGCTAAAGTGGTACCTCAGGTTAAGAACAGTTTCAGGTTAAGAACGGACCTACAGAACGAATTAAGTTCATAACCAGAGGTAACACTGTATTCAAAAAGGGCTGCCTGCCTGCCTGCCTGGAACCGTCCACACTGCAACATTTTGTTATGGTTTCAACTTGCTAAGTACAATCAATTCACCTTCAATGCATTAGCCAATGTGTATGTATGTTGTGTTTGTCTGGCAATTATTCCTGGTCTCCCTAGGTTCCCTTACTGCAGAATTCTCCATAGGATCAGGTATGAATGAATTAACATTTTGAGAGTTCCACAGATAACAAAAAATGAGGTTTCAGATGGGCTGGTATACAGTTGCAGATCGTACTGATTTCAGCTAGGCAGAGAAGGCAGCTAAGTGTTTGTTTGTTTTTTGTGTTCATATGAATAATTAGTATTGGGTACTTCAGACACTAGCAGTAATAGCCTTTCTTGGGTCTGTCTTTTGAGATGTAAATGGCATTAAAATCTCCAGCTCCCACAACATTTTATATGGATCAGAAACAGCCCATTACTGTTTCCTGCCCAGAAGGTCAATAAAAGAAAATATGTCTTTGATTACTGTTTTATTAGGAAATAATTAACACTCTGAGAAAGTACAGGAATGTTGATGAATGCAGCAAGGTGCTGTTTGTGTGGGCAGCAATGATGAATAAGGTAATTCTGATGTTAGCCAAATATTTACAAAAGCCAGCAGATTGAGCTTTCTCTCTGCAGGCAAATGGCCATATAAAATGAATGTGGTTTGAATGCCAACTCAAAATCTTCAATACAATTTCAGAGAAGGTCACACCATTTAATGATGTAGAACACTGGCTAACAATTTGTAGACTTCACAATCCAAAATTCAAGACCATTTCCATAAGATAAATGGACCAAAATATTTGAAGGTTATTTGCAGCCAGCCACTCATATTCCTCAAAAACCAATTCAGCCACGTCATTCCAACAGGATTTCAGAAACAACACGCATTGCCAAGCTGAAGGAGAACATTTGAATCTCAAAGCAACTAGCATCCCAAATCCAATTTCTGTAGTTCCCCTTGGGTTTGTGCTTTAATTTATCAGACATGCTAATTGTCAGTCATTGTGCAGCTGCCTGATTAATCTATTCTTTTCAGATCTGGAGATACAGAATAGCTTTGACTAACAAATTAGCTGAGGTCCCTTTGTAAAAATTGCCACTTTCTTCAAGTCTTGACCTGACGTATAAAAATTAACTGAGACGCTGAAAATGTTAGAGAAGCTGAGCAGAGAGGTCAAGTGGATCTGAAATCGTTGCAAAGCTAGGAAACAACATGATGCTGGTAAGCACATTGCAGGGGGAGCGAGCATCGTATTCATGCACCTACTTCCCATCTCTATGTCGATAGCTATGTGGCAGCATTCTGATAGCCAGTGTGGAGCAGTGGTTAGACTGTTGGACTAGGACAGTGTTTCCCAAACTTGGGTCTCCAGCTGTTTTTGGACTACAACTCCCATCATCCTTAGCTAGCAGCACCAGTGGTCAGGGATGATGGGAACTGTAGTCCAAAAACAGCTGGAGACCCAAGTTTGGGAAACACCGGATGGGGATCTGAGAGACCAGGCTTCAAATCATCACTCAACTATGAAACTCACTTGGGCTGGTCGCTCACTCTCAGCATAACCTGCTTCATAGGGTTGTTGTGAGAATAAAATAGGGAGGAAAGGAGCTATGTACTCCACCATGAGCTCCTTGGAGGAAAAGTGGAATATAAGTTCAAAAAATAATATTATTTTGTTTTGCGGTGGTGTTATTGTACATTATTTGATATTTCATTGCATTATTCAATCTGTATTGTGTGTCACCTAAATGACAAAAGTTATATATTTTGGGAGCAAATTCCATAGGTTAATCATGTACTGTGTGACAAAGTTCTCTTTGTCCTCACTTTAAGCATGTCTTGAGGACCTAGAGAGGGGGTGATGTCTAGTTACATGTAAATATGACCCTGGCTTACAGATCTCCCTCCAGAAGTCAGGAAACTAGGGCTGGTTGTTCCTCGAGGCCTTTGTTGAAAGAGCCAAAAAGAAAGAAAAGAAAATCAGGGAACAACCACCAAGTATTTAACTGCCCCACCAGCCAAATTGTGTGTAGGGATATGAAAAGGTAGTCAAGTTGCAATTCTGCCAGGCTCTCCCCATAATCCCCAAGTTTCTCCTCAGCTCTGTCCCTGGCCTGCTGGATGCTCTCTGAGCTATGCCACTGACCCACCAGATTTCCCCCATTATTGAGCTTTTTTTTTGAAAATACAAATTATGAAGCATTACAAAACAGATGCAAAGGGTGCGTAGTAACATAGCCAGTTTAAGACACCTCCATTACTACTTGTGTTGATAAACACTTTCCTTCTCCTTTAAGTTTCATTTACAAGGATTTTAGTTTGTAGAGTTTCGAGATTAAAAGAGAAAATACGTAACTCGGAAGGTCCATATCAGGGATGGAGGCAGAGGGCAAGCATTATCCTACAGGAATGTCAGGCAGTGCTCTAGCTCTGCTTAGAGGGCAAGTATTTTCAGCAACCTTACCACCACATGGCCTCTGCCCAATTAAAACTCCTCTTTTGCACACTAGGAGCTGACTCATCGGACATGCTAGGTTTGGATGAAAGTGCTTCAGGGTGATGGAAGGATGAGCACATAACAAACCATGCAGGGTGGGAAGAGGTGGAGCAAGGAGAAGCGGAGGGCATTTCAAAGAAGGGAGAGAAAAGAGGAGTACTCACATGGCGAAGGAATCAGGGGGAGCTGAAACTCTCCTCAGGTCAGCAGAGGGCACTTTAGGGACGCTATAGGCAGCAGGAAATGTGCAGCCAAGAGAGGATCAGCACAACGGCATGGACAGACAGGGAAAAAGCCCAGAGAGAGAGAGAGACATACAACAACATTTAAACAGAAACAAAAGGAAGGCATCATGTTGAGGCAAAATGGAGGTGTGTGCTAAGCTGCAAGGCAGCACAACCATCAATGGAAAAGCCAATGGGAGGTATGAGCAAGCGCAATGGAGGAAAATGGCGTCTGGTTATGGGGCATGGTGGAACTCTGAGGCAACAAGGCAGGTAGCTGTCAATGGCAGGGTTAAGAATATAAGACTGTAAGGTGAGTCCTGCTGGATCATCTATTCCAACTTTCTATTCTCATAGTGGCCAAACAGATGCCCATGGGAAGCCCACAAGCAGGGCCTGAGGGCAACAGTGCTCTCCCCCACGTGTGATTTCCTAGCAACTTGTTTTCAGAAGTAGACTGCCTCCAGTATTGGAGGCAAAGCATAACCAATGGTTTGGTACCTTGGCTGGGCTTCATGAGGTTCCTGGGGTTTGAGCCCTGCAGCACTACAAGACCTTGGAGTATGAAGCATCCTTTATAGAAAGAGGGGCGACAGTTCTTCATCCTAAGAGGATGTATGCAACCATCTTTGGAGAGAGACAAGCACATCATTGCCACAAACTCCCCCAACCTCTCTCACTTGTTCACCCCACTTCAGTGGTTCCCTTCCTTTTCCCCTCATCCCTACAATACATTTTGAATTTCTGAGGCAATGAGCTCCATGCTTTGGGCCAACCATGAACTGTTTCCATGAAGATGAGTCAAACAAGACACGGGCTCAAAAACACATGGCCCAGATGGCATCTGAATGAGGGGCTGGGGCTGCCAATGGAGCCACTGACGTGCATAAAAATGTCCACATGAAAATACATTGTGATGGCCTTCACACAGCACCTCTTCACCCTGGCTTTGGAGATGCATATTTTTAGGACTCACCTTATTTCTGTGATTTGGGGTGTTTAAAACTGTTTTTAATATTGCGTACTGTTGTGCCTTAATAGTGATGCTTTGTTTTGTTGTAACGTGCCCTGGGACCTTAGGATGAATTGTGTTGTTGTTAGAACAATAGCCCAAGTAAGAAAATGTGAGTCCACAATTGGATCCACAGAATGGTCTGAAGGCATCACAGTCCCTGAAACTAAGCAGATCTGGAAGAGCCAGTGGGAGATCCTTTCTGAACCCCTGGTTCTCTGGCCTGAGATCTCTGGAGTTCTTTGGTTAACAGTTTTTTAATAGTTCAGTTTTGAAACGGCATTTCATCACACAGAATATCCTCCCCCCCCCAAAAAAAAAATGCAAACCGAAAGAAAAAAATACAGAGGAAGCTGTTGTCCCTCATTGACTGTGTTACAGAGAAACCCATTTCAACTTTGTCTTTGGATCATAAAGTGCATGATGGGAAACTGGATGCTGATTATATAGCACTCTTCTCTTCAAAGTGACATTCAGATTACATATCAGGCCAGGTTCTCCAATCTGCCGGCACTGCAGCATTGTCACTATCAAGTCAATTTCCCTCTCTTTCATTTATCATCAGTAGGATGGGTATTTTTCGCCCTCCCCTCCGTCTATTAGAGATTCTGGAACTGGAGTTTAGCTGGCAATTCTGTTAATGATGCATGAGGCGGACTGAAACGCAGCTCATTCTTCTAAAGCAAAATTGACTCTCTCCCAGATTAACTTCAGTAAAACTTTGCTACCGAATTTAACAAGCGTGACTCAGAAGACAAATGGACAAAAGATAAGAGCCATAAACAAACATGATATCTCTTTGTTCACATCTATACCTCCTATTTCTCCCCTATCTGGAGACAAACAATATTGACACTGCACATTGGTGGCGCTTAAACTTTTATCCTAAGTTGCACCTTACCATCTGCCTCTGAGAGAATTTCCCATCATTCTTATTTATATCCTTGTAAACATAGCTTTTGGCAACAACAGATGCTGACTCAGTGCAGTTGCAGAGAGCAGAGAGGTCCTAGTTTACCAAACCTTTAGCCACAGGAGGACTAGAAAGGAAGTTTGGTGTAGTGGTTGCAGGGGCGAATGAAGGCGTCGTGACACCTGGGGCTGCAAACTGCTATGTATGGCGCATGTGTGGTGTCACTACTTACAGCGCATGTGCCATACGTAGCGATGCCGCACATGCGCTGTACATAGTAGTTTGCCGGCAGCGCCGCTCCAGCACCGTACGGACGGTGCCGGGATCCTCTGCTCGTGCCATCTGTACAGTGCTTGAGCGGTGCCAGTGGCAAACCGCTATGTACAGCGCATGTGCGCCATCGTTATGTACAGCACATGCGTGTGACACTGCACATGCGCTGTACATAGTGGTTTGCTGCCAGTGCCGGGATCCTCTGCTTGCAGCTGCGAATGGAGGGAGGATCCTCCGCATGCGGCGGCGGTGTGATGGCTGCTCATGCTGTCGCGAGCCCCCGCAGGGTGCCTTCTTGCCACACACACCCCCGACATGGCACCTGGGGCACACTGCCGTTGCGACACCACTGAGTGGTTGTAGCATCTGATTAGACCTGGGAGACAGCAGCTCAAAGCTCCACTCAGCCATGAAGCTGATCTTGGGCCAGTCACTCACTCTCCGCTTAACCTGGCTCACAGGGCTGCGATGATAAAATGGGGAGGAGGGGAACTATGCATGCCACCTTGAACTCCTTGGAGGAAAGGTGGGAAAGAAATGCAGTAAATAAATACATGAAATGCAAGGTTTTTCCTGAAGTTGGGGAGGGAAAATTCTGGGGTAGAGCTAGAGCTATATTTTCCCCCATAATGTGAATACTGGCTCGCAGCTGCTGCACAGTCCCCTCCCCCACATGCCCAATCTAAAGCATGTGGAGAGATCAATTTGTGTGTACATGGTGTCCCCTGCTCAAATATATAGTAGCTCCAGGCTTTGTGTCCATCAATAAACAGCAGAGATGGCTGCCCTGGAGTAGCAGAATTCTAGGGGCTCCATCTCCTAAGATGGAAATCCCTAAACACACACACACACACACACACACACACACACACGTCAGATCCTTGAAACATCAGGGTCTGAGATGGACAATAGTATCCTTGTCTCTTCCATTTGCAGCCCCATTGTTCCATACAAGTGGGTGGAGCAAAACTTAAAGGGGGGGAGGGGATGGCAGGATTTGACAATACCTATTGCAGAAAGATGCTTGTGAGCCTGAACCAACCCTTTCCCCCATTTAAAAATGCACTTAGGCAGCCCACCCTTTGTGGGTTTTGCAGTAAGGGACACATCAGTGAACATGTGGGATTTGCATTGGCTGTGCAATAAACTATGGCTATACAAACTATGCTCCTTGCTGCTGCGAATCCTGCCGGCCAGCCGCACAACTCAGCAGCTTCAAAGGGAGAACAGAATTCCCATGGCTCAGCCACCCTGCCCTTCTGTACTTTGGCTTGCTCTGAGCCAAAGAAGTAGCCACCGTTAAGACTTCCTGCTGCAAGTTTTGAAAGAGAGGTGGACAAAGTACAGACTTTTCTAGTGACCGGGGTCTCTTGGAGGATGTAGGCCACCTCTGGTGGCAAGATCCAGGTGACAGATCCAGCCACTGAGGAACACATCGCCTGCTTCTGCTGCTGTGGTGGCAACAGTGGCTGCAGTGCACTCCCTAGAGGTCAGACCTACCACCTCCTTGGCACCTCAACCCCCATGCTGCCTCCACAGTGGAATCTCAGCGAACAGGAGACACTGCTGCTCCTTCACCCCTAGGGAGGAAATGGTGGGGCTGCCCTCTGGGGCTTCCTGGGCTCCACACCCACCTTTGATTCCCAGTTCAACCGTTGGGTAAGGTTGATTTGATTCCTCTCTCCTTTGTTCCCGATGTAGATATTCACTCTTCCTGGCCGGGGAGAGGCACCATTTTGTGGCTCACATCAGGTACCAAAGCGCCTTGGGTCAGCACTGCCACTACCAAATTTAAGCTGTCTAGCTGCCAACCTAGCAGTTTGAAAGCAAGTAGATAAATAGGTACCACTCCAGTGGTGCAAGTAGATAAATAGGTACCACTCTGGCGGGAAGGTAAATGGAGTTTCTATGCGCTGCTCTGGTTTGCCAGTAGTGGCTTAGTCATGCTGGCCACATGACTGTATGCTGGCTCCCTCGGCCTATAGAGCAAGATGAGCACGCAACCCCAGAGTCGTCCACGACTGGACCTAACAGTCAGGGGTACCTTTGCCTTAACCTAGCTGTCATAGAAGTGAGTCGCTATGCACAAAAGGACAATACAGCCTTCGACAGAGCACAGAAAGCTCCATGCAAACAGGAACTGCTGCCCCATCACCTTCAATGGCAGATGATACCCCAAGCATGCAGCCCCACTGAAACATGCGCTCCCATTCAGCATTTGGAATGCTTCCTGATATTAAAGAAAATGGGGCGATTTCCAGCCATGCAGAGCCCCATAGTCCTGGAATACGCCAGAGTAGAAGGATGCTGTTATGTAACTCGGAAGGGTCTGTCATCATCAACATCAAAAAGATAAAGCCAGCAGGAAGCATGCAAATTCACTCAACATATATTAAATGTGGACACTGTTTGCCAATTTAACCAAACATTCTGTAAATATTATCCCAGACTTTTAAAGTTTAAACTCATTTGCTCTAGCAATGTTTGCATGTGTTTCATATTCGCTTCCTGCAAAGAATTTGGGGAAGGAACTCAGAGGGATGTTTGCCGAAGGAAAACGTTTTAAGCAAATATTGTAGGCTGTGGAAAATAGTTTTCAGCTCCGTACAGCATAGCGACACTTCCTATCAACTAGTTTCATCTTGCATACTGTGCAATGGAGGCAAGCCTCAGCCCAATCCATAGATCACCTAAACAGGATTATTTATTCTAATTTAGCCCACAAGTCAGGGCCAAAACTGGTTCAAACCCAGATGCTTCCGTTTTATTAGTTTGTGGGATCATAGCTGCTTTTTTTTCTCATCA